CGCCATTCGATTTATAATTTTACTCTCAAACTGTCCGAACCACACCGCGCACATCTCTAATTATATAATACAATATATATTCATATGTTGAAAATTGACATAAAGAGGCAAGAAAATAGAGTTTTTGAAATAAATAAATAAAATGAAGTAGAGAAATCGAAGTAGAATGAAGAATAATAGACAGAAGACTGTGTTACTATAAAAATAGAGTTTCGTGATTCCAATTTATGCAAAACTCTAGTTCATCTTATTAATCGTTCACAATTTGCGTTTTGTTCTAGCCTAATATAGTGATAATTTGATGTAAATTTTGGAACAAAGTGTGTATTGGTTGAAAATGGAAATAATTTTTCTCTCTTACCTTCTTTTTGTAGTCACATTCTTATCACATGACTGGATTCTGTTAAAAATTTTAACAATGAAGTAACAAAAAGGGAACATTGACACGTGTGTAGAGAACAAAGTAAGATTTGACTAAAAGTACAAGGGGTCGACTATCACGATTTTATTTGTAAGGACCAAAGTGAGATTTAACAAGAAATGTAGAGAATTGGCTGTCATGATTTCATATGTAGGGATTAAAGTGAGATTTGGTATAAAGTACAATGGTGCAAAGTGTAATTTACTCGAAGTAAAACTAATTGGAAATGTTAGAATCTGTAAGAAAAGTTATGATTTTTATGAAGAAAGACATGAATTTTTGTGATGAAAATTACAATTTTGGGTTATTTATATGGAGTCTTCCTAAATTATTGAGAAGTATTGCTTTGATCCCTAAATTATAAAAATTTACAAATAGACCCTCTAAACTATTGAGAAGTATCATTTGATCCTCTAAACTATAAAAGCATATAAATGGACCCCTAACCTATTGACGTATTCCACTTTAACCCCTTCTGTTATCGCATTGACATTTTTTAAACAAAAATACCTTTCAAGAGTCTATATAACACACCCCCAACAACACTTATTCTCCATTTTTCTCATTTTTTTTGTTTTATTATTATTATTTTTAAAAAAATATATTTACAAAGAATATCTAAAAAAGATAATAATAATGGATGAATACTTATTTTTTAAAAAATTTACAAAATAATAATAATGAAGTTGTAAATATATAGAGTGTTGAAGGGCATTTCATATAAAAAATGTTTAAAATTTTGGTTTAACTTCGGGGCTATTTCTATTTGCACACCATACAAGTCCTCAGTACATACCACAAATATGTTTGGATATAAATTTTTAAACAAATATCAAATGTTCAGATTTATGAACATAAAATAGTTGTTCGAATATAAATAATTGAACATGCTATAGATCTAAACAATTTATTTTTGTTCATAACTTTAAATATGAATATTTGACATTAGCTCAAAAATTTATATCCAAACATATTTATGGTGTTCTAAGAGTTTATATAATATGCAAATAGAATTTTTGCAACTCATGATATAGTATTGAAAGGGGTCAAAATAAAACATATCAGTAGTTTAATGATTTATTTGTTTATTTTTATAGTGAAAGTTATTAATGGTGAAATCATGATATATACTAAAACAATTGGGACAGAGACTCTCATACATACATGACTCTCACAACTCCTACTCTCATCCTAACCACTCATAATGTGGGGCTCAAATATATATTATGAGTAGATCCCACACACACACATCAAGAGCTAAAGGGTTGGTTTGGGATGTCCTAAAAAAGTACACTTTTTGACTTATTGGTGGGTTTGGGTTGGGTTTGGGTTGGGTTGGATGTGATGTGTTAGAGAGGTGATGTGATTTAAATAAGATGATGTGACTTAAATAAGATAGTGACTTTTTGACTTTTTGGCTTATTTAGTACATGCCAAACTAGCCCTAAATTAGGGGTCATGACATCTCCAAAAAAGAGGTCCCAAACATTTCTGATACTAAAATTATGAATAACCCGTCACCATGGTGCAGGTAAAACAAAGATAATCAAATGCTTTTATTGGAATATAAAATCATTAATGCAAGGAAGTATATGGAACGAACCGAAAAACACACCGGAAAACAAAAAACAATAAGAAAAATATCTCTCTATTATTCCACGAGTAAATAACCTTAAAACCTTAGAACTTCATTTATAACAAATAATGTTTGGTGATTAAGGTGATATTTGATAAAATTGAAAATTAAAAATTAAAAATTAAAAACTAAAAATTGAATGTTGAATACTTTAAGTTAAAAAGTTGTTTGATAAAAATTTAAGTGTTGAACTAAAACAAGTTATTTGATATGTATAAGTTCAAATTTAAAATTTATTATTTTAAATTGTATCTTTCTATTTTTATATTATAATGGTGAGGTGGTAGTAGAAGAGGCAGCGACATTAGCTATGACACTGATGGCAATAATGGTAGAGATAAATGGATAGTAGTTGCAATAATGGTGAAAGGGTAATGTAGATAAAAAAAGAGATGGCGTGATGGTTGTTATGACAATGGTGACAATGATTGTGGAGTTGAAGGATTGTAGTAGCTATTGTAGTAATAGTAGTAATGGCAATGATGATGGCGACTGTGGTGATAGTGTGGTGGCAATAGTAAAATGACGGCTATGTTTATGGCAATCATGACAATGGTGATGAAGGTAGTAGTGGCGGATGGCATGATGGGGGTGGTGGTAGTAGTAATGGTAGCGGCGGCATGATAGTGTTGGTTGTTGTGATGGTGGTGGTAGTGAATTTATAATAGTGTACATCGACGTTTATATTTAGTATTAATCAAAATTAAGTAAATTTTATATGATATTTTCTTAACTTTTAATTTAAATTTTAAGTAGCACTTATATTTTTGAGTAATATTAATTGTGATTATCAAATGAACTTAATTTATTATCACTTAATACATTCAATTTTTAGTATTAAATCAGGTTACCAAACACCTCCTAAAACACAATCCACACCCTCGAATAAAACCAAAACTTCATTAAAAAAAAATAGCCAAAAATAAAATTTTTGAGTTAGACTCAAATTCGGAATCTAAAATATAAAAGCAGTTTATTTTTTATATAATTTTTATTCTGACCCAAAACGGAATTATTTAGATCCCAAAATTTAGAATCTTTTCAAATATAATGAACTCTGTGATTTTTAGGCCTAAAAAATGAAATTTGAGCCGGAATCCAACACACTGCACACTGCATAGCAGCGAGTGGACTTGTTAGGCCAATTTGGATCAAATATGAGTGTTTTGGGTCCCATACGACAACCTTATAAAGTCAGCAATCACCATTACACAAGTCAATATCCAAGTTTTGTTTGTGTTTTGGCTTGCATCAGCATTCCATATATCCTTGGACCCCATCACAAAAGCAATTATAGTTGTTAATTAATAGCCAAGTAGGTATTTCATACCTAACCTTGATCTAATTGCTGTAAGGTTCACCCAAAACTATTATTAAACAAATAATAAACATGGACTTAAAAATGATGTTTACTTTCAAGCTCAACTAGACACACACAACCTTTGCTTTTTCATTAAACATCTCAACCCATGTTGCTCTTTTCTTTAGGTACTCACTCTTATAGAAGAAGTTAAGTTAACTGCCACTTCAGGGGCCTCATAAGTCCAGACAGTGAGGAAGTTAATCTTTGCGCGTGTGCTGTTCAATTCAATTTCAACTGCTCCCACAGACATTCAAAATTTTATATATGGAATTTAAAGAAGGTTTTATCTTGATCACAAAGATTTTCCAAATTTATGAGTATAAAATATTAGTCAAGACCTGTTTTGTGCCAAGCATGCATTCAAAAGAAGAACAAAAGACAGGGACAAAAGCAGTGCACAAAATACCAAAGATTTGATGATGTAGATTCTTCCATTATTGTCCTCTCAGACGACGCATGATGAGAGCTGACAGTTGTCATTTTACTGGCTCTGTGGAAGCAGTTGGAAGGTGTATTCCTTTCCCAAATAACTCTTTTATGCCTCTAGCAAATGCTGCCTGACATAAAGCTGATAGCGAAACAGTCAGAAGATATCATCAATGTCAAATCCCCAATAGAAGAAAAACATTAGGCCACAAGGACTACCACGGAAATTGAGAAATATAATTAATTCTAAACTAAGGATCACGATCCCATACATAGCCGTTGGAAAAATAATAAAAAATAAACAAATGGATTTGGACATATTTTTTTGTGCTCAAATTGAATTCAATGATCATGTGAGTGAATCACGTGTCTCCATTGATCAATTCGAACAACTCCAAACAATGAGGTAAAACTATTAGAGCACTATTCACACTATTCACAATACAAAAGGCTAAAGGAGAGAAAGGCCAGGAGGGAGGGAAAGTTGATTACCCAGGTTAAAATTTAGTATAATACGTATATTATGTGAGAGAGTTATAACCACCTACAACTGATAATGGATTATATGCTCTTTTTTCCGGGATAAGTTGATTCAAAATGAATCTCTCCTAAGAGGGTCTCTCAATGAGTCATGGGTCATGCCACTATAAAACGACCCAATCGGATGTGGGTTTTAAACCCAACCCAATTTCCAATAATAACAAAACAAAAAATACAAATTAATAAAGAGACCTGTCAAAAAAAACAATCCAAGTTTGTTCCCCAAAATAATATTTTTAGACACTATTTGGCATCACTTATATTAACATATTTTTTTTAAAAAAAATCTTTTTATCATTTTAGATCACATTACTTTTGTACTTTTTATACATATTTTCATAAAAAATTAAAAAACATCCTTATTTAAATCATCTCAAACACCCTCTTACATTGGCCATAAAAAAATCAACATCTAATCACCTTATGTATAGTGACTCGTTCCACATCATTAATAACTAAATTTTCTTTTGGGGGGTTTTAACTGCAACAAAACGCCCCATCGCAATCAATTGTGGTTCTGATGACATATATTTTGTTAGTTTAGCAGTATTTTTTTTTTTTCATTTCTTAAATGGAGGTCCCTTATCATCTTTCTCCAATTCCATAACATACTTATCAGTTTTTGGCAGTTGTGTCTTGGCTTTTTGGTCACCTACGACTCTGCATCTTTATTACTTTTCCTTTTCGCACTGCATAAAGTTAGAATTCCTGCTCTTTGTCAATAGCTGTCCATCATATTTATACTAAACTGCCTTAGTTCTGCTCCATCGCATCCTCTATTTGCTTTTGTTCAATCATAATTCAATTCATAACAGTCACAAATGGCAGCAAATGATGTGCCGTGTTGTGAGACCATGTTTTGGGTTTATCTACTCATATCTGTGGCCCTGGTAGCTTTTGCCGGTCTCATGTCAGGTCTTACTCTGGGACTCATGTCTCTCAGCCTTGTCGATCTTGAGGTCCTCACCAAGGCCGGTCAGCCCCAAGACAGGAAGAATGCGGGTTGGCCTAAATTTTATCTTTATACTCTTTTCATTCACTCATTTCATTACTTCGTTTTCTAAAGCTATATTTGCTTCCACATATTCTTGATGGCAGAGAAGATTCTCCCCATTGTTAAGAATCAACACTTGCTTCTATGCACCCTCCTCATATGCAATGCCATGGCAATGGAGGTATGTTAGTTTTTTTGGTATATTTATCAACAATTCTATATCTTCAAATATATTAAGTTAATAACAATGTTTATTTTATTTTTATTTTTACATTAAGGCACTGCCCATTTTCCTCGATGCACTTCTACCAGCATGGGGCGCTATATTGATATCAGTGTCCCTCATACTTGCATTTGGTGAGGTAATTCCTCGAACAAACAGTGTTTGTTTTGGGGTGTGCTAGCGTGATTGCTGATAGCTTAATAATGCAGTGCTAACTCTTTGTCCCTCTTTGATTGCATTTGGTGAGGTAATTTCTTGAATGGACAGTCACTGTTTTTTTTTTTTTTTGTTCTGCTCAGATTATCCCTCAGGCTGTTTGTTCTCGGTATGGACTTAGTGTTGGCGCCAAATTGTCAGCAGTTGTTCGGCTGCTTGTCATAGTTGTCTTCCCTATCGCATACCCAATTAGTAAGGTAATATGCTTCTATATGAAGCGAAAACCACCTTCGTGTATCTGCAGTTTGTGAATTTCAAGTGCTTAATACCAAGCAACATGGAGAAGAAGCCAATTTATGTCTAAATGAAATGGGAATTTCTGTTCATATTGTGACAGTTGTTGGATTGGCTCCTTGGAAAGGGGCATTCTGCACTTTTGAGACGGGCAGAACTAAAGATATTGGTGGACATGCACGGGAACGAGGTTTGTTGCTGATATTAATACCTACAGGCTGAGAAATTTTTCACAGAAAAGAGTTCACATTGCATTTATCCTAATAGAGCCCGACTTCCAACCTGAATTTGTCTAGCCAAGTCCAACACGAGCATAATAAATTGAACTCTGGTTAGGCCCCAATTACCCACAAATTAGAGATTTTTTATTTTTATTTTTAAAATTTTTACAGTTAGGCTAATTAATTTGTTAAAGTTAGACCCTATTAACATTTTTTTATAGATAAAATCATTAATAACGTCAAAACAAATAATTTATATAATGAGTGAGAGGTGAGAATCAAGAAATCATTGCATTGCAGCACCAGTCTGTCATTTCTGAGCGAAACGGAAATGATAGATTTTGCGTTGTAACTTGTGTGTATGATGTATATGAATATGATCATCTATATTAGTTTAACATCATTCAACGGTAAATAATTTATACGTATATTTAATTTTTTTTTATATATTTACATATGCAATTAGGTTTTCGGGGTTGCCTAGTGTCTTTATTGTTAGAATTAGGCACACTCATAATTCAATCACACACAAAAATGAGGCAAATATTTACGTGGTTCGGCCCAATGCCTACATTCACAGGAGAGAAAGAGAATGCACTATAATAGTGCAAAAATACAAAAAACAGAGGAGGAGTATATCACTCTCTCTACTCAACTCAAAGCTCACATACACTTCTCAAAACTCTTTCTTTTTCTTCACACTCTGATGATTAATTCAGCTCATAGATCTTCCTATTTATACACAAACAGGAGAGCCTCTGCGTGCCAACCTCTGCTTGCCAACAACCAACTATAAAAAAATAAATGGCAAGCTTACTACACAACCACCCTAGTTTTGAAAATCTTCAGAAAATCTATATTTACAGCCTCCATACTTGACTTCCATAGCCAAGTTCACATTGGTGTGGAAGCTCAACATTTGTCACACCCGGCCCAAATTTATTTGGGCTTCTAAACATTTTGCCCAAGTCTACTCATAATTCAAATATATATTGCCTATGGCCTAGAATTTTTTGGGTTGGGCTTGGGTTGCTCCAATTGGTCCCACCCAAGTTGCACCCTATCGTAGAGTGCGGGCATCGTTTAGAATGAATGCAGTGCTGACAGTGCTAATGCTAGTACTAAATTAAGTTTAAGCTGGAGTAATACAGTGTTGATATCCTCGTGTTGATATTATCAGGCAGGGAAAGGTGGAGAGTTAACACATGATGAAACTACCATTATCTCTGGAGCTTTGGATTTGACCCAGAAGACTGCTAAAGATGCTATGACACCTTTATCTGAAATATTTTCCCTTGATTTGAATTCTAAACTAGACGAGTACGCTGCAAAAAACTTACTTCAATCTCTGCATATATTTACACCATTTTCTACTTATAAGTTTATTTATGAGATGAGGTATATGTTTGTTTTGCTCCCCCAGGGATACAATGAGCTTGATAATGAGCAAAGGGCACAGTCGCATACCTGTCTATTCAGGAAGCCCATCAAATATTATAGGCCTTATTTTGGTAAGCATATGGTGGAACCTGTAACAACCTGTTTGTTTGTGTTCATATTTTTTATTCATTATTGTTTTTTTGTGTTTTAAGAGACAAAACAACGGAAATTAACTGTTATGACATTTTCTATGATGTTAGGTAAAAAATTTAATCAAATGCCGTGCTGAAGACGAAACACCAATCAAAATTCTTACCATCAGGAGAATTCCTAGGTACAAAATTTTGTAAATGTATTTTGGTCTTGAATTTGCAAGCAATGCCATAAATATTTTTATTTTTTCTTATTTTTTTGTGCGTGATTTTATCTGTGAAAGGGTGGGGGACAGTTTACCACTGTATGATATATTGAACCAATTCCAAAACGGGCACAGCCACATGGCTGCTGTTGTGAAGAGCAAGCACAATGTTAAGGACTCTGCAGGAAATGCAACAGACAAAAATGACATGATCACGATAAACATCAATTCAAACTCATCAATATTACAAAAACAAGCAGAGGGAAAAGGTAATTTCTTTCAATATTTTAGGTGCTTTATATTACAATCCAAAATTCCATTCACCTGATCATGTGACTGACATTGCATTGCGTACAAATTTCCCAGATTTTGTATATAGAAAATCCCATGCCTTGTTTCAGTCTATTTATTAAAATAAAGTCCAATGGAACACAAGGAAACTTGTAGTTATATGTTGGTCATTGCTATTTCCTTATATGATATATAGGAATTGAGAACAAGCAACAAGAGAGTATCTATACACATGCACCACCATCTGTGACTTCCAGCGACACTACTGAGAGTCAGAGTCCAGCATTACAGTACATAACGGAGCGATGCAATGATAGCTGGCACCCCCAACCAAAGAAAGGAGGTGAACAAGGGGATGCAAATATAACAAAGGAAGTTTTGGAATCACTTCCAGATCAAGAGGAAGAAGTCATTGGTATCATTACTATGGAAGATGTTTTAGAGGAACTCTTGCAGGTTAGCAATATATATAACTAATTAACTAGTATTAATAAATACTATGATGTACTTCATGCAAACGTTATTTTGTGTTCCATTATAGTTAATTAATTTTGCTGCTTTAGATGTAACATATAGAAATTAATTCTGTCCAAGTTGATAAAACTAGCTTCAATATGAACACTTTTCTTCCATACAGGTGTAGGAAATTTCATATATGTAAATATTAGATCAGTCTTTTCATATATGCTTTTCTTTCTGCAAGTCTTCTAGGTATCCTGATAACATACCTAAAATTTTATTCACAAAAAAATAAAAATAAATACACAGTAACAGTTTGTGGTTCAAATTCTTTTTTAATTTAAACCTCACCATATCTAGGCATGGCACTGTTTTTTGTGAGTTCTTTTTCTGGGTACATAGACTTAATGTGTTTTTTCTGTTGATGAACTAATATTTGTGTTTTGTTTTGAAGGAAGAAATACTGGATGAAACTGATGAATATGTTGATGTTCACAATAAGTGAGTTACGATTCCGCATCTGTGAATTGATCATTTGGTTATGTTTTTGTTTCCCCCATTTTCAATTTTTGTGTTTATGGAAATCCAAAAAAAAAAATGAAATGTTAAAAAACACCTATCATTTTCATCATTTTTATATTTGTGCAAAAACAGTTTCCAGAAGGGACCTGTTTTCAGAAAAACAAGTTTTGTGTGTTTTGCAAAAAAACAAAACAAGAAAACACAACCAAAGAAAAAGTTTCAAGTGTAATATATTTCTGTTTCGTTAGTTACTAACTTATTGTCTAATGATATACACCAATTTACTATGTTTTGTGTCAGAATTAAAATAAACATGCTTCCTTCAAGGAAGTCACAATCAAGATCTCCAGGAGCACCTTCTCAGAGAGCATGGCGAACGCCGATGGCAACTCCACTATCTTCAGGTCATCAGACACCAGTTTCTTCTTATCATCACACTCCGATACTACGGTCCCCAATTTCACCCTTTGTTCAGTCTCCATTTATACGACCAACTCTCTCTGCTTCCCCTGCTAAATCTACCCCAAATTCTCCATCCATTTGCACCTCTCCATCCTCACATCAGGTACGTCTAAATTTTCAATACAATTACTGCTTCATTGCTCTCGAGTAATATGCTTCTCATTCAATTTCATGCACATTTGTTTACGTACACAGGAAAAAAATATTATAAATGTTATAAGATTAATTTGCATTTTTTGATAACTTGTGCTGAAATCATCATCATATACTAAATGTGGGTGAAACTCACCTTTTTTTCAATTTGACGCCAAGTGCGACAATTTCATCACATGAAAGTTTTTCACTTGGAATATAAGCTATTGTTAACATGCCCCATTACACTCGGTCAAGTTTTTCAGTCACTGTAATTTAATTTCTTCTTCTCTTGTCATACTTGAAATTCTTGGCTGATTGCAAAGTTTAAACAATCTTTTCTTATGGCTATCTTTTTATAAAGAAAAAGTATTCATATTTTGTGCAGGTCTCAAGGAAAACATATGAGAAGCTGAGAAAACCTGGTGATTCGTAGAGTTCCCACTTTTTTTCTGACATGATGACCATTGGAGATTTTTGGCATGCAAGCGTAACTTGTATTGTATGATATTGGAAATCAAAGTTCCAAAAATAAAATAAAATTCTTGTATTAGATATTATATTGTTGATAAAACACCATATAATTAGTGCTGGAATATGACAACTTTTTAGTTGTGAAATACTCTTATAACATAAACTTCCACTATTTGTGATTTTGAATTGCCTGAATTCAGTGGACATCTGAAAACATCTGTTGCCTGCTTTTTGCATTGAATTTGTAGACACCCCACCATAGTCAGCAATACAATGTGGGGTGTGTATATATATATTTCTACATGTCCATACTGTAGTAAAATGTCCCAGAATTAGATCAGGGAAATTAATCGGGTGTATTTAGAAGCTCTCTAAATGCTTACATATGTGGAAACCATTACTCAATCTTCACTGTGTTAAAAATTAAAACTAAATTTTCTGTTTGGGACTCAACAACAAAAACAGAACATATAAATAAATAAATGAATGAAAAGAAAGATTTTCTAGAATCTGTTTAATCACAGAAACAAAAACAGAAATTGGAAATAGTGTAGGAGGAAGGAAACAAATTACGAACAGGAAAATATTTACAGATAATATTTTCCGAGAATGATCAGGTCCAGCGTTTTACATTGTCTTCTTAAGACAGATTCATCCTCTCTAGGGTACTCACAGGTTATGGACGTTTATCTCCCAAGATGAAATGATTTACAACTAACAGTAACAGCACTATAAACTGTTCGCACAACGCACACACTCTGTGTATATATTCTTTCTCAAGGAAAAGAAATGCAGAAATATGCAGGAACTTTTAGTAAATGAAGAACGAAAATTTGATTGCAAAATCCAAATGAGGGATTGGCTATTTATAGATACAAAATGGCTATTTATAGATACAAAAGGTGGCTGTTCGGGTGAAGAATACATAGGTATGAACTTGTTTGGGTTGAAGCTACAGGTATGGAACCTATACAGAAAGGACTGAAGAGGTGCAAAGGCCTAACCGCCAGAATTTGAATTTTTCAAACCAAAATTTGAATTCACATGGTCAGAATTTATTTTCCAAAAAAAATAAAATAAAGTAAAATAAATTGTAAATGTTTTTGGCTCAAAAAGTTTAGTATTGGGCCGAATACGCCCAACCCCGCTTGGGCGGATGGCGGCGGCAGCTCGCATGTTTATTTTGGGTCCAATGGGTCTAACCCATAACCTCCTCCTCTTCAAAACTTGAGTGCCCCTTGGGACCTATCCCAAGGTCCAATCTCAAGGCTTATAAACCCATACAATGTTAGCCTAGCTAACCAACGTGGGACAAGCTTTCCTTCCGTCAATTTGGAAAACTACCAAAACACCATTTTTATGGAACTTACTCTAGCATCAATTTCCCATTTACTTGATAATAGTTTTGAATAACCAAATATATTACGTGAATTACAACGTGGTATAGAACGCGTTACCAATACCCGCCATAACTGGTACTTGGGTCCTATTTATATTGTAGCCCAAAGTTGACTAAAAATTCTGGTTTTGTGCAGAATTTTCTTAACCATTTCTAACGTAAACTAGCCACTATTACACACCATATGCAAGTGCAATTCATGTTTGCTACATGTAGTCGGCTACAAAGGGAGAGTGATATGCAAGCTTGGATAGGGTGTACAAATGGGGTTTAGTTCAGACACAACATGCAATCTTTGTGATGCCCTTGATGAGAACCATTCCCATCTCTTTTTCAACTGTTGTTTCACTAGTAGTCTATGGCAGAAAATTTTAGATAAGCTCAGTATTCAGAGACGTCCACTGAACCAGCAGGGCAAGTGCAATTGAACTGCACAGCTTGCGAGGAAAAGTAAGTTCACCCAAAATTTGTTCAAGCTTGTATTAGCTGCAACTGTATATGTCATTTGGCAAGAGAGAAGCACAAGAATTTTTGCAAACACGAGACAATCAAAGACTGAATTGCTTGAGGGAGTTTTTGTAAATATTAAGAGTAAAGTAGTTACTTGGAGGGGTGTCGTGGATAATTAGTTTAACAGAGGAGTTATGCTGAATTGGAATCATTCTAGCAGCTTGTTTAATAGGTTTTTGATTTCTTTTTGGTGTAAGAATTGCTTCGGTTTACCCTGGTTAAGTTTGTTTTGTTGTTATATACATTACACTACCAAAAGAAATATATATAATCTCATGTTTGACTAAGAAAATTAGGGTTTAAACTAAAAAGACATCCGAACATAGCTAAATTACAAAATTAATCAGATTTTGTCAATCCCTCCTCATAATCTTGGTGTAACAATATATAGTGTTTCATAATTCTGGGATAAACAACAGTCCTAGGAATCTTATTCCAATTTAAAGCCAATAAGCCAAACACTGCACCAGAAAATGTGGCCACCAGTATAGCTTTCTTGAAAGTTTATAATGTAAGTAAAGGAACAACATTTGTGAGATGTGCCACTTTGGTTACCTTTCTTGACAACTCTTTTTTTTATTTTTTTATTTTTTATCACTTTTGGGGTTTCAGCATTTCTTGGGATTGCTTATGGCACCGTGTCTTCAAGTTTAGATCATGAGAGGAAGGGCTATCTTCTTTGGGTTTGAAGAAACTCAGAATAGTTAGGCTGAGGTGTGGAAAAAGGACGGAAGAGGACAATGAAAATGTGATGTAAAAGATATCCTAACTTAATGCTCCCGGTAGACGTCCCCGAACGCCCCGGGAGGAACGAGCTCCCGTTCTGTTCATTTGGGGTCACTACAACTCAGGACTCTAAAATTGTCACGGTTCTAAGTCTGAACCAAAGAGTCCAAATCCGGCAAATCGTTTTGAGAAAACAGATTTTGAAAGAAGTGCCAAACATGGACTACTTTGCTAGATACAGAGTCGCCACCTAAATATTTTATTTCGAGGAAATTTAGGAAACCCTGACTCGTTTGCCTAAGGCCACGTGTCCGTCATCACCAAAGTTGTCTCGGCTCGGGAACTTGGGTACGATTGGGGAAGGTCACTTCGTGAGCACCTCCGCTCGCCCGATCAAAGATTGGCCTCTACTAACCATGATATCTATTTTTGAAAACTTTGTGTGTGCTTATTCCGATTATTAGCCTAGGTTACTATGTGATGCACACAGCATATAAGTATAGACTGGGTCGCCCGAATTGGAACAAAACATTTCATGCTTGTTTATTTGAAAGATGGTTTGCTACTCGCAAGTAGGCTTAAAATGCAGATTTTGCCACCCGCAGGTGGGCTTAGAAAAGATGGTTTTGCCACTATCTAGTGGGCTTAAAACATCACAGTTTTAATGATGATTTGTTCCAATTTAAACAACCCAACCTTCACCCACAGGCAATCAGGCAGAGTCGTGCCCTCAAAGTGTGCCCGCACCCTCAAAGGCGTGCATGGAGAAAGGCGAGCCATTGAAAAGGCGTGCCAGGTTGGTCGGCGAGAAGCAGGCGCGCGATGCGCGGGCTGCACTCGGCTATAAGACAGAGCTGAGGCTGAGGCAGAGAGAAACGGAGGCTGAGGCTGAGGCAGAAAAAGCTGCGAGAGATATTCTTGGAGAGAGAGTGCTGAGAGAGATTCTGTAACACTCTGTTGCGAAGAGATAGTCTGTATACTTTTGTGGCCCAGAAATTGGCCTCGTCTTCCGGAGTGTGCTCACTCTCTTCGCCGACCTCAACGAGTCAACAGGAGAGGAGGAACTGGGCGGGGGCACTGGAACCTCAACAAGTACCGCTGGTGTATACTCCGTGAAATTTCGATGCGGCTCTGTGGAGCAAGAATGCAGCTGCTGTCAGATGTTGGAGGCCAATCAGTATACTCTGAAGGCATGTGTGGCAAAAGCATGACGGCGGTCACAAATTTGTCGAACCGGCTGCAGAGTCGGACAAATGAGGGTGCAGCATGTAAACCTCCCTGGGCTCTTCCACTGCCCGCATTATGGCGTCCTCCAAATCGCGGAACATCCGGTGGCCTTCCGCTTCAGACTTCCCTGTCCTTGTTTCCTGCCCTTAGCACGCTTATCTCTGCTCGCGATCGCCTTCTATACATGCGTTGAGCAGAGGCCAGCTGGGAGTTACATGCTGCACCTCATTTGTCCTACTCTGCAGCCGTGTTCGACAAATTTGTGACCGCCGTCATGCTTTCCAACACATAGCCTTCAGAGTATCATACTGATTGGCCCCCACATCTGACAGCACTGCATTCTTTGCTCCACAGACGCATCGGAAAGTTCAAACGCGAGTTATAAGCCCAGCGGTACTGGTTAAGTTCCAGTGCCCCCACCAGTTCTCTCTCCTGTTTTGACTTGTTGAGTGCGGGAAAGAGAGTGAGCAGACTCCGGGAAGACGAGGCCATATTTCTGGGCACAAAAGTGATTACGACTTCTCTCGCACAGAGTTGTTCAGAATCTCTCTCAGCACTCTCTCTCAGAAGTATCTCTCGCAGCTTTTCTCTGCCTCAAGCTCAAGCCTCCGTTTTCTCTGGCCTCAGCCTCAAGCCTCGTCTTATAGCCGAGGCAGCCACGCGCATCGCGCCGCTCTTCTCGCCGACAGAACTGGCACGCCTTTTCATGGCTTCGCCTTTTCATGGCACGCCTTTGAGGGTGGCGGGCACACTTTTTGAGGGCACGACTTTTTGAGGGCTCGAATATCTACATCCATGTCTATCTTTTGGGCAGCTATATACACATCACTACAGTGTCTTCTCCACCGGTCAGCATTATAAATCCCTTTTCAACCTCCAATAGGTTTCTATCTTCACACCTATTTGAGTTTGAGGGGGTGTATACACAGTATCATGTTCAAGCCACCTCATGGCGCACTCCCTAAGTCGCCCCCTTGGTTGCACACCACAATCTTCTACAACGGTCCAACATGACCCCATAAACGTCTGTTCTACATCGGTCTGACACGACCACACAGTGTCTGCTACATCGGTCCGACATGACCTCGTAAACTGTCCTGCTACAACGGTCCGACATGACCCCGTTAAACTGTCCTGCTACATCGGTCCGGACATGACCCCGTAAATTGCTCTTCTACATCGGTCCGACATGACCCCGTAAACTGTCCTGCTACATCGGTCCGACATGACCCCGTAAACGCGTCTTCTACAACGGTCCGA